CTAAAAACAGGTTAATAGGAAGGCCGCGCCTTCCTATTACATATACCCGCCTATCGAAAATGATACGGAAGCATGTTAATGAAAAAACACTAAGACCGAGATGGGATAAGCAGGGAGGAGGGGTATATTAATGATGTCACTAGGATGCCCCCACCCGACTAGTGCAGCTATATTTCTTGAAAACCATTGAAATTTTGGATGGAATTTTAAGAAAAACACCTAGCGGCGTACCAGTGAGTGGCGCGCTGGTTTCTGATCTCCAAATGCGACAAATAAAATAGCATCCGCTTGACGGAGGCAACGTCGTGTCCAATTCGTGGCGGTCGTGTCGCACTGATAAATGATCAGTGGATAAGTGTCTTCCTGCAGATTCAGCCAATGCATTAGTCGAAAATCGGCTTGCCTATAAAAACTGATCACTTTTTAAAACAAGCCACATCATGGAAACGGTATTCCGGTAAAACTGTGAAACGGCACAACAATTAATGTGCGACTTGTAAAACAGAGCCTCACATCGCTGGGTACTTAAACACACTGCTTCATCAACCCGAGATTTCGATTTCGCTTGGAAAACCCGACAGACTAAAACTGGTACGCTCAGCAAGCAATGAAGTGGAAGCGGTCGTAAAATACTATTCAGTTCCATAAATCTGATGTGAAGGTGCGTATGCCAGGTCTTAGTTAATGAGCAAATTCAGCTGATACTCTCTAGTACCTCTAAAACCAAAAGCGGAGAACAAACGTGTTTAGTATTTTTTCCTCAAAATTTTACACATGAATGACACAGATGAAAATAACAACATGCATAAACATGCATATACATCGGCATTCCGTCAGACCTCCATAAGCCCTTAGTCAAATAAAATAAATAGCGGCGCGCACCAAGGCAACCGGTGCGACCATGAGTTTTGCGCAGTTCCGTCCAGCGAACTTCTGCCTGTTAAGGATTTTCACCGCTTTGCACTATGATCTGCGCAAAAATAGTTGAAATATTGTCTGATTCCTAAGTTGCGGAATTTCCGACTAAGAATTTCACGCATCGGTATGTGAAAGCTGAATTTGAAACCTTGGAAGGTGAATTATTCTTCCAAAATCTCAAACTCCTAATTTTCTGGCTTTCGAGTGATTTTTGCGACAAAGTTTCATGTGGTCGTAATGACACCTCGGCATACTTAGGAAGTGAATTGGAGTTTGTGAAGCTTCCACTCAGGCAAAAAATATCACCCCAAAATCCCGAGCTTTCTAGCTTCTCTGGCCACTGAGGTAATGGTTTCTCCCGCCAAAACATTCATGGGGACGTTGAGATCCAGATGTACGTAAAAGCTAATGAATTTGCAAGGTCGTGCATAGGCAAGGGACGTAACCCCAAAATTTTAGCTCCCTAGCTTTCGCAGTTCCGGAGATAATTTTCCTCGCCAAAACTTTTACGAGGTTGCACGTGACACCTAGATGTGGGGGTAGGCTGGACCTAAACTTATGAGACTGTGCCTAGACAGGGAAAATTACTGCAAGTTTTCAGCTTCCTAGTTTTTGCAGTTCATGAAATAATAATTCCCTGCCAAAACTTTCACGAGACCGTACGTGGTACCCAGAGTGCGTGAAAGCTGAATCAAAATTTGCTGGATCGCATATTGTTAGGGGGCAACACCCTAAAATTTCAGATTTCCAAACTTCGCGATTCCTGAGATAATAATTTTCCCCGCCAAACTTTTACGAGGCCGTACGTAGTATCCGGGAGCGCGAAAATGCTGAATTTAAATATGCGGAACTGTATGTGGGAATGGACATTATGTCAGCTTCTTGGCTTTTATAGTTCCCGAGATAATAATTTCTCCGCCAACTTTTATTGTTCCCGAGATAACAATTTCCCCGCCAAGATTTTCACAGCGTCGTAGTTGATACCTAAGATTGCGGAAACATTGAATTTAAGTTTGGAGGTCATACGTAGGCAGGGGGCATGCCCATAAAATTTCATTTTCTTAGCCTCCGTGGCTCCTGAGATAATAATTTTCCCCGCCAAAACTTTTACGAGTCACGTATTACCCACGGGCATGGGGTAATACATGGGCCCGTAAAAGTTTTGAATATATTGGATTCCCTGCATCTCCAGTTCCCTAATTTTTGTGTTTCTCGAGTTGAAAGTTGCGAATAAGATGCATCGGACACATGGACATACATACACACATATGCACAAAAAAGGAATA